GCATGTGATTAGTGGGCATCCTAACTGGCAAACTCACTAAGAGAGATTAGTCATTAAACAGCATTATCCAAGGCATTTTTGGTAGCTCCATTGTTTCTGAATATGCATAATTCTGTTTTAGAAGCTGTTCACCACCCCCCGCCCCTTTCTTGTTGTCCTTGTGAATTTGGGCTACTACAGTGTAGTTAAGTATTCAATGTCTCTTCTAGCCATAGTCTGTAACACTCACCAAGTAACATTTTGCCCTGATGGGTCTGGGTAAGAGAAGGTGGGAGAAGATACTGATAGGCTGACATGATTCTGCTGTAGATGTTAACCAAGTTCACTGTAATTGTAAAAGCTTGAGACTCTAGAAAAGGAATAAAATGAGCTGTATCAGAAGTAGGATGGGGGATCTCACTTCCATCAAAGAAGAGCTAATAAAGGATCATGTCCTTTAGATCCAAGATCCCTGTGCACTGAGCCTTCCTAACCTTGGGACAGAAAGCGGTGACACTGAAGGAGTGGCAGAGAAGCAGCAGCAGCAGAAACAGGAGCCAGACCATCAACAGTGGACCCACAGAGCAAGTAAAGCCTAGTGCCTTTGGGCAGGAGGTTTGCTTGCAAAGTGGAGTGTTTCCAGGACCTTAAATGGGGAGAGCTAGGCTTGCTGACCCACAGAGCTAAGGTGGAGTGGTGAGTCCTCATTTACCAGCATCCTAAAAGAGCTTTGAAACACTGGCATGGCAGAGAGTAATACTGCTTCTTGGCACAGCTGAGAGGCTATTCTGCCTGGAAGAACTGAGTCCTGAACATCTCTGACTCTGAACTCTACCTTGAACATACTATGAGTCTGGAGTCTGAGTTCTGTACAACCATTGCTATGAATTATTGAACCCTGTTGAGCACAGTGTGCTGTGGGTGGGATGGTTGGTGTCACTTCTTTTTTACAGATGGGTGCCTGGGAGGGACATGGCATTCTATAGGGCTTCTATGGGCAGTGTAATAATCAGCGTGTGAAAAAATCTGTGTTAACAGCCAGCTCAGCAAAGCTTTATGAGACTGGGCCTGAGTATTGAGATTTACATTCCATTCAGGGTTAGATGATATATTTGCATAGCGATGGAAATCAGTAATCCGATAGAGATATCTACATGTTTACTAAAGGAAGGCTATCAGGGCACTCAGCTCTCAAATCCTTATTACCTACTCGGCTACTAACTGAAAGGTTGGCGGTTTGAATCCATCCAGTGACACTGGAATGAAGGTCTGGCAATTTACTTCCATGATTATAGCCATTGAAAACCCAGTGGAACATGGGGTGAGCATGAGTTTTTGTTGTTGTTGTTACATACAGGGAGACACCTGAAGTGGTATCAACCTGTGAGAAGATCCACAATGCCACAAAGTGTTTGAAAGCAGCAAAGGTTTTCTTCTGGTGTGACTATAACAACCTGAATAAATTGTTAATGAATATGTGACTTGGTACTAACATCTGGATTTTGTTGTTGTTAAGTGTTACCGAGTCTGAATAGAGAGCTGCTATCTATTTTCAATATAATAGCCACTGTCCACATGTGGCAGTTAAAACTGAAATAAGTTAAAATTAAAATTTTGAGTTCCTTAGTCATTCAAGTCACGTTTCAAGTGCTCAATAGCCACGTGAGGTTGTTGTGGTTGTGAAGTGTCATCGAGTTGGTTCTGACCCATAGTGACCCTGTATAGGACTTCTAAGAAGCAGCTGGTGGGTTTGAACCACTGATTTTGTGGTTAGCAGTCTAGTACTAATCCTACAATGCCACACCAGAACACCAACTTAGCAGAAATCCATGGAACATTTCTATCATTACTGAAAGTTCTATTGGAGAGTGATCTAGAACATAATCAAAACATCCCCAAAGAGATGCCATTTTGATTTATTGACCATACTAGGGAGGCCTTGCCTAGTTTTTATTTTGAACCATTGGAAATGGTGGAAGTAAGACCTAAGATTTTGGGTGTGCATTGTGAAGCTTGATTTTTTTTTTTTCCCAGTGAGAAGTCACCTACACTTAGGAATCAATAAATAAAGATGATAGGCAAGGAGGTGGAAGCAGAAGACGTAGTTGCTTAAGATTAGGGATTTTTCTGAGTGAGAAAAGGTATGTAACCCAACTGGGCAGAAGGAAGTTAAAACCATTTCTGATATTTGAACAAGAGGTGAGTGTGGAACTTCCCTTGACTTTTGATTTCTGTTCTTTGCATCATCATCTGAGAATACTGGTAAAAATAGGTCAGTTTAAGAAGGCCGTGAGTCTTAGCTTACCTTTCAGGCTGAAGAGACTCTCAATGTCTTCTTTAAAAGGAGAGAAGTACATTATTAGTTTTGCTTCATGTGTCTTTAAAACTGGATGAATCAAGGAAAGGAAGTCACATGAATGGCAATCATACTTCGGACACTAGTTTAGGGTGTCCCTGTTGGCTTATAGCATAAAGACGTACATACTTTTTAACAGAAGCTGATGAAACACTTGGCTGTCTCTTCACTCAATTTCTTTGATAGGAACTTTTGAAGTGAGGACTTGATAAACAACAAAGACTGTTTGGGGGTCTTCATCTTTAGGAGCTCACTGTCAGGATGACAGTAGAGTTGTAGTGCAACTAACAGGAAGACAGAGAAAGTTTATCAGCAAGTAAGATGCTTCTTGTGAAAATTAGAAAATGGGTCATGAGATATGGTAAAAAGAGGTCACTTCTCATAGAAAAAAGGAGCTCTGTAGCACAGTGGTCAGGAGTTGGGCTGCTAACCGGAATCAAGGTCAGCAGTTCGGAACTACCAGCTGTTCCAAAGGAGAAAGATGAGGGTTTCTGTTCCTGTAAAGATTTACAGCCTTGGAAACTCTATTATGGTTTTTATGAGTCAGAACCGACTCCACGGTGTAACACCACCACCATTCATGGAAAGGTTAGAAGAATAGCAGAGGGCAGCAGACTGAGCCAAGAGCAGTCTCTAGTAACTATGACAGGCATAGGTTTATGAACTAGGATAAGAGACTAAGAAGCTGGCTAGAGGGGACAAACGATTGTTGGAGTTGCCAGGGTGGCAATGAAAACATAATCACTGCACTTTGCTTACTGTTGGATATTTCATCATCTTTTCACACAATAAATACTCACTGGATGAATCCTCAGGGGGGGAAAAAAAAATCACACTGAATGCATAAATTCCTTTATTGAAAATATTGGGTAGCACTGCATTACATATAATCAATATACACTAATGAAGGGTCACACATTTCTGATTGAACAATACTGTTTTAAATAGAGAACACAGCATCTGGATATTCTCTCATAAGTATAGTATCATGATCTAAAATTGATTAATAGTGAGCTATATGCAAAATGACCATTTTGTTTGCTTATAGCACGTGGCTGCAAATGGCAAAAGTGGTGAAGGTGATCCTCCAGAGACAGTCCTGGCATCTCACACAAAAACATTACTTGCCAAGTGAGTTTAAACTGCCAGTATCTTGTTAATTGAGCATTCTCAGTAGAAGGTCAGAGGTGAAAAGCACACCCAGTTTACAAACTTAAGATTTTACAGTATTCACTTAAAACTGCCTGGACTGTGAGTAGAGTCCGGTCGGTATAGATATGACAGGAGACCACTTGGCTATGTATTGTTTGTTCCCTTTTATGAACAACCTAAAATGAAAGAATAATCTAAAGGAAATAAATGTTCTGTCAGCTTAAATCTAATATTCCAAGAATTATCTAAAAACCTCAGAAGTATGCAAATGTTGTTGCTGTTAAGTGCCTTCCAGTTGACAACCCATAGAGACCCTGAATTGGGTTTTCCAAGGAGCAGCTGGTAGATTTGAACTGCCAACCTTGTGGTTTGCAGTCCAATGCTTATCCTACAGCGCCACACCAGGATATTACTTAATAACTTTCCCCCTTAAAGATCATGAGGGGCTATAGAATTTAGAGTGGACCACTTTCTCACTTTGGCTATTATTTGGAGTTTTTTTCTATTATTAGTCTTTGGCTTTTATTAAAGTCTGGCAATCAATAATAGTAGTTATGTTTTTCATAATACTTCATTATTTTTAATAAAGGAGAGTTTAGTGATGTGAAAATATGTTTATATAAAAATTTTTGTTTTTATTTCAATTTTGTTATGAATGCATTTCTTTGCATTGTTTTTGCTCACATAAAAGGGTCTAGAAATGAAGACTATCAGGCTCATTTCAAATTTCTCATGATTTAAAAACTGTAGAAATTAAAACACTCAGTTCTTTTTAAAACACACCATGAGCATAAAGTTTTTGTTTAAGACACATGATTTTAAAAGAAGCAAAACACTTTCTTCTCAAAAGCAGTTTGTTTTAAGTCTAGGTTCGCAAAGGTATTCTGTTTTATGAACATCAACTTATAGCTAGGAAAATGGCTCTTTCTGTTTTATACACATAAGGAATATGTTCAGGGTAAGTAACAAAAAAATGTACTAGTCAAATCAATGAACATTGATGAGTTCTTAAAAATTCAGAATTATGCATTCAATATACATTTTCTACTTAAGACATAACACCCTTAACAATCAGGGCAAAAAAAAATTCAATATAAAATTATATAAATCAAGTGGATTTGTTGCTGAAACATAGCAAAATATCTATACATGTATTTAAGATTTGACACATTAAAATAAAAACAAAACAACTGCCAACATATTTCAGACATTGTATTTAGAAATAATAAATAAAACAGTTTTAAAAAGTCATATTCCCTTTAAGTGCTGAGCACTTACAGCTTTCTAAATGAGACCTCTTCCATGGCAAACAATATGCTGTACATTTTGGTAATGAAAATTATGCTGATAAATACCCAACGTTTGTATATATTTCCACAGTATCTTTTTTTTTTTTTTCACAGTTACCAAAAATAAAAATTGCATTCAACTCATACATCTATAAACACCTGATTCCTCACTGGATAGATTCAAAGGAGGTGAGAGTACAAACTGAACTTCAAACTTCTTTCTTCAGTGTCTGCCCTCTACATATGTCTTCCCGAATCTTCCTGTGATGTGATCGTGCTCTGAGATGGTGGCAGAAAGAAAGCATTATGATGGTATGAGGCAGACTGGCCTGAAGCTTTGTCTTCTAGCCAGCTTTAGGGAGGGTGATCGAACCCAGTCCTTTTAATATAATTCTTAAGGCATTCTCAATGTCACTCAAATGTCCAGACCTCTAGATCCTGAACTATGAAGTCCTCCTTTTTAGAAAGGATATCATTATTGAAAGTGCTACAGGAGTTGCTTCGTCCATGGTATAAGTCAGCATCTAGCCATAAACCAAATCGTCCCCTGGAAACGATCAAAAAAAGAAAGAAAAAAAAAATGGTAAAAACTTCAACCATACTTTCTGTCCTCCTTGACTCCTCCTTCATCCCCCTATTCTAAAAACACACAAAAGTTGAAAATGCTTGAGAAACAAAGGCTATGTTCCCTTTATTTCATTTAGATGACCCATCTTTCCTAAAAGACGAATGGTAGTCACCCCTCATTTAAACTCATAAATAAGAAATTTTATCTTTGATTCTTATGTCATTGATTAGGCCACTTCCTAATAAATCTAAATATGTGGACAAGTTAAAATCACCTGACACCTAGGTTCTGGTTATCTTCAAAACTCAGGTCAGGTGTAAAGTAAAAAAAAAGAAACAACAAAAACCCAACAACAATAAAACCTTACCCTCCACCACCAAGTTCTAAAGAACTTATGTCTCCATTGATAAAGTATGAGTTTTCTCCACTCCACTTAAAGACCTTGGGGTAGAAACACAAAATAGAAAAAGCATTTTCATCTGGAGAATTAGCAAAGAGGGAATGTTAGGATGGTATCTGTATGTCTAAAGGAACCGCCCCGCTGGTGGGGAGACTCCTAACTGTTGGACCTGGACCACAGAAGGACCAGGTCTCTGATGGGGCTATGAAGTAAGAAAGGCCTTTCCAGCCCCCTCTATGGATCCCACACTATGCAGAAAAGGAGTTCCCAAGGCCTAGGGACTCCTCTAAGTAGTGTGTGTACTACAGTCAGGTAGTGCTAGCTGTTCCACACCCACCCCTGAACCCAACCACTCCCAATGTGGGGACAGCAGGAGTTTGGCTATTTCTTCACATCAACGTACCTTGAAATTGGGGCTAAAAGTATAGAGAAAAGTTTCGCCTGTGCCATAGTAATGGTCACTGAACTTGAAAGGATGAGTTGCATATGCTCCAAAAATCTGTCAAAAGAAAATGGAAATGTTACCTATTTTCTAACCCAAATATTTGAAAGAAAGGTTTTCTGAAATATTTGACACAATTCTGTTCTGAAATCTCATTATACATCTTTCAACAAGATTATGCTGTTGTTGCTGTTGTTGTTGTTGAGTACCGTGGAGGCGGTTCCGACTCAGAGTGACCCTGCACAGGGTTTCTGAGGCTGTAAATCTTTATGGAAGCCAAAAGCCTCATCTTTTTATTTTTTTTTCCCGCAGAACAGCTGGTAGCTTCGAACTACCGACCTTGAGGTTAGCAGCCCAATTTGTAACCACTACGCTACCAGATATAAATATAAGCTCTTATATTTAAAAAAGAAAGATCAGCAAAGGAGTAGACAAAATGTACTCAGTCCTAATTGAAACTCAGGTGGTCAGACTACCCCCTGCTTGGAAAATACATCAGATGAAGCTGAGAGAACTTGTTTGTCAAAGGCCAACAATTTGTTCCAATTTAAAAGACTTCCAAAACCCACGATGGAGACAAAAATTTCCTTTAGTGAATACAGACGACTCACTGGGACTATCAAATCACAAGAAAATGTATCTTGAACTCAGAAATGACTGTTTGGGGAATCACAGTCAGATTTCTTATGTGTTTAATAAGATCAGAGTCAGACATTTCCCCAGAGAAACGTTCCCCCTTTTGACTGGTAACAATGAAATGTCTCATGCTTAACAATAATTCTATCCTTATTAGCATGACTGATCCAATACATTTTACTTTAAAATGGCTTTTAAGAAAAAACATTCCTTAATATTATGAGCTTTAAAATGCATTTATATGTGTTTGCTTCAATGGTTCTTCTATTTTTTCTTATTAAGAGGTGGGGAAGAGAAATAAGTTACCCAAGAAGCAGCTCTGAAGCATGTTTCTTGCTTCAGCTTTCCATTTTTCTGCTCAGATCCTAATCAAATACTTAGAGTGGGGGCATGATGGGGTAAGCATATATATGCTGAATATGTCCTTAGATGGTTCTGATATACCCTCTCTTCAAAATGAACAAAAAATACACCAATAATATTTTCCCCTTCTCTGGTTATTTTTTACCAAAACAACGAAAATGCAACTGAGACAAGCACCTTTCTTTAAAAGCCTGGTACTAAAATATGACTAAGATATACAGTGATGGAGGAGAAAAGTGGGCCCCTCTAAAATCAATAAATCCGAAAGGTCATTCTTGCTCTCTCGTCCTATGGAAGATGTTAAATAATTACATTCTTTTAAAAGTAATACTTTCATGGCAATCAGGGAAACTTGTTTAACAACTGGGAACTGGTTACCACCTAGGGATTACTGATAATTTTGTTAGGTCCACAGAGGTATGGCGCTGTGGCTTAATGCACCAGACTGCAAAGCCGTTTGAACTGCAAGGTGGACGGTTCAAGGTCACCAGCTGCTCCTCAGAAACCCTGTACAGGGTTGCTATGCACTTAACAACAACAAAAACAACACAGAGAGAAAATGTCTATTTTAAGTGATGCAAGTAGGGGTGAAATACTATAATGACCAGGATTTATTACAATACTTCAGCAAAGGAAAAAACAAAGAAAAAGAAAAGCAAGACAGATGAAGCAAATGTAGCAAAATCTTGCTAACTGTGGAATTTACTACCTGTGGACTCTGGATGATGCTGGTTCACTTTATGAATCTGTCTTTAGTGTGTATGTTGAAAGACCTTCATTACAAAAAGTTTTCTATGACAGAAACAGGCCTCACCTGATTATCCATATCTTTGATGACCAATAGGACAGGACTATCTAGCGATGCTGATTTCCGATAGAGAGTTTTCAAGCTGGTACCATGCTCTAATGTGCTATATGCAAGTCTCCACGGATACCCCTGCACCCTTGCTGGAAGGCGTCGGGCCAGCTGCAAATCCAAAGATGGAGATGTAGATATACATTTCACCCACAAATCACTCAGGAAACTTTGGCATACATCAACTGCCTGTAGCTCAAATTTATACAGTTAATTACATGTTACTCTTTGGCAAATATGTGCCACTATAAACCAAGAAAATCACTGCCATCGAGTATGTTACTCACTGTCATTATACAGGGTCTCTAAATGATCCCTTGGGAATGCAGAGACTCCGTAGGAAAAGCACTGGACTGCTAACTAAAAGGTCAGTGGTTCAGGCCTACCAGCAGCTCTCCCACAAGAGGAGGTTTTCTGCTTCAGCAAAGATGTACAAGCCTCGGAAACCTGCTGAGTTGGAACAGACTTAACGGCACTTAGCAACAGCGAAACAACAACAATGAGCCTTTAAGATCTTTCAATTTCATGTTTCTGAGCTGATTTGCTGAAGAAAGTACAAGAGATTCCTAACTGAAGGTCCAAATGTCGTGGAGTCCAAATGTGGTGTGCCGTGGAGTTGGTTGCGACTCATAGAAACCTTGCATAGGATTTCCGAGGCTGTAAATCTTTACAGGAGCAGAAAGATGCATCTTTCTCCTGTTGAACAGCTGGTAGTTTCGAACTGCTGACCTTGAGGTTAGCAGTATGCCTAGTAGCCACTACACTACCAAAGTTCTTTGAAGGTCCAAATATAAGTACAATGTAACATTTCATAAAACTTTCAGAAAATTATAGCAACTGATTTTCAGAAACCATAAAATATATACTAGAAACACAGATAAAGGGAAATTCTTCATAGTGGCAGATACGTTTTCATAAAACAATTGAAGTGTACTTTCTATGTTTATGTAAATTACGGCCGTCAGAACACTGTGACAGTCACTTGGCTAAATCTGAATCCTTTCTGAGCACATTAGAAGTAGGGTACACCCACTGCTGGTGAGTCAATCCCATGTGTATCTGTCTGAGTAGAACTGTGCTCTGTAGATAGGACTGCCAATGGTTTCCAGGCCTTTCTTCTGTGAAGCCTCTGAGTGTACTTCTAACCTTCTGGTTACCAACCAAGTGCTGACACTTTAAACATTTTGTAAGACAAGAATGGCTCTTCTGTTGCATTTGTTGGGAGGGGCAATCAGTCTGAGTAACCCCTTGCTCTTCTGAGAAGGCAGAGGGGAATGAATGTTGTTGTACCCTTTCAGAAGCAGGGAAGGGGATTTAGGGGCTGGGGAAGCTGGCTCATTCTTAACCCAGAGGGAGAAAAGCAATGTGGTGTGGGTGGGAAGTACGTTTTAAGGCCTAGAAGACCCCTTCTAGAGACCACAGAGGGGGCTCACCTGCTCTATGTGCATGTTCTCCAAGAGTGCACTATGGGGTTGCAGGACAGGAAGAACTTCCTCCTCATCGTCATCATAGTAGCTACACGTGCTCTTCCTGCGCTTTGCCTCCTCAACAGTGATAATCTGAAATGGGGCAAACCAATAATCAAGAAAAAGGATGTACTGTTTTCCTTCAAACTGCTAAGAATGACCTCAGGTACAAAATTGCCTATAATATGTGGAGCTTTAGCTCCAAAGGGCTTAAATTGAAATGGCACTTTGGAGAAATATTTCATTTTTCCATTTCAGAACAAATGCAGAATTTACCGCAGTACATCTGAGGCACTTAATACATAAAAATTAAAGTCATAAGTTTTCAGTTTTAGTTATCAGTGCTGTTTGCTCAGTCAACTCAGTGAGAATTATGTAGAACCCTACAACCAACTTGTTGCTATTTTGTGCCATCAAGTCAATTCGGACTCACCTTTGAAATACTCTAAATTATTCTCTTAGGCTGCATCTAAGTTTGAGTTGTTAAGGACTAACCAGGACTCCTGGTGCAGTGCTGTAGGATCAGCATTGGACTGTGAACCATAAGGTCAGCAGTTCAAACCCACCAGCCGCTCCTAGGAAATCCTACACATGGTCAATTTGAGTTGGAACTGACTCAAAGGCACTTAACAACAACAATCAGAGCTTATTCAATGAGTAAGATAAGGATAGTTTCTTAGTCAAAGGTCCTACCTAATGTTTTATCTGTAAATAGAGTAACCAACATTGACAGAAACAAAGAATGTAACAACGAAACAAAGAGGACCTGAGCTTTGCTCCAAATTTCAGCTAAGTTTCAATTCTTTATTTACATTTCAGAAGTGATCAAAGTATTCTTTCCCTGTAAGCTGAAAAAAACGATGCACACACTTACTATCTTGTAGTTATGCTTATGAACTATCCAAACCCATTTCATCTTAAAATTCATTTTTTGTCCTTCCTTGGAAACCCTATACAGGGTCACTATAAGTCAGAAGTGACTTGACGGCACTTAACAACAAAGTTTATATAAATCAGTGGTTCACCTAAACTCCTTGGTATCAATATTAATGTAATTAGAGTAACATTTAAGTTATAACTTATGCAAGCTGCACGATGACGCATTATTCAACTTCTAAAATGCACAGGGATAGATATAACGTGTGTAACACATCATCTGAGTCAAATTTACAGCTAAGACATTAGCTTTAAATTCTTATCTCCCCATGAAATATTTACCTAAAGAAAACAGGCAAAGAATCAGAAATCCAGCACTTCAAATGCATTAAGTGAAGAAACATCCTTTTGGTAAACTACAGTTACCACGGGTACAAAATGAGACTATTAAAAAAAAAAAAAAAATCAAATAGGAATTTTTGACTCGAAGCAGAAGTGGCAGACACACCATATGGTTGTTTTTAGCTGCTGTTGAATGGACCACTCAACCATACCTATTTCCAAAAGAAGTAAAATACCTGTTCTGGTTCAGCACAATCCTTGCTAGTTAGAAGGCATTTCAAGACCTACTGGAGGGCAGATCACTGAGGATTCACCAGCTGCTTCTGATCTCTCAAGGACCTATTCCCACTTACCTTCACAAAGGGCTCTTGCTCAGGTCTGGCACAATAGAAAATCTGAATGTCCACAGGCAGTCTTCGCACTCTCATTGTGACTGATGCAGGCTGTCTGCTCTCTAATGAGGAACAGGCTTTCTGTCTATCTGCCTCCACCACACAGGTACTCGTGGCCACGCTGTGCTACAACGATATTTGTAGTATCGAGTTTCCTGCATGATTAACTTTCTGTTTCCCTCAGGAGAAGGTTCAACGTTTCGACAGGAACACACCCAAATTAGGATTTAGAGCAAACACACACTTCCTGTCAGGCAACAGAGCTGAGAGACTGTAAAATGACACTTTCACCTTTGAAAAGATGGTTTCCTAACAGCATAACAGAAAACAAAACCCCATTGTTGATGGGGTTTTTTCCCCCCTTCCTTTTCCTTATACTTTTTTTCCTAACTGTCCTCAATTAACTTTTTTAGCTCAGCTTTTCTGTGTTTCTTTTCAGCACTTTCTCTGAAACAAAGCTTTATGTACGAGCATATTTCCTGATGTTTGTACGTCAGAGGGCAGATGAGAAGCTATAAAGGTCAAAACTGTGGTCATGGAAAAGGTGCCCTTCAACAGGTAGGCTCACTACAGTTAGGACAGTAGCATTTCACTTCATTTTCATTTGATGTGAAGAACTAGAAGAGTAAGAGAACATCTGGTTTAGGTGAGGCAGAAGTACATGTCACTTGGAAGGCAGCTTTATGAAACAGCTGGAAAAGTAATGATTACCTTTCTGTATTTTAGAAAATTAATCATAATGACTGATGAGTGTGGTAAGTCCTCCTCTCCTCTACAGATCGGATGTCAGGGGATTGGAAAGAAATGCAGATCCCCAATTGGATCACTATTCAGGAGGTTCTCTGTGTCTTTTTCGGATCCGAAATGGCTTTTTGATCTTGGGGTTCAGATCATTCAGGATTCAGAATGCAGCTGTAAAGCTCATCCTGGAGCTCAGTTATAAAGAGAACTTGCACAGACGCTTTGTGAGCAGTCCAGGGTTACCAGACCTCATTCTCAGGGCGAGAGCCTGCAACCTGGCATAGAAACACATTGCATTTTGTGCCAGCGAGGGTGCACTTTCTTCAGTACCTGAGACTTCAGGACCAAAACCCAAGTCAAACTCACTGCCAGCAAGTCAATTTGGACTCACAAACATATAGTGTTTCTGAGATTTATTTCACGGAGCAGTTAGATTTGAACTGCTGACTTTGCAGTTTGCAACCTAACACCTAATTCACAGCATCACCAGGAATCCTTTGTACTTCCCGACAGCTAACATTTGTCCAGTGCTTTCTATGCTGTGGTAAGTGTCCGGTGCTTTGACAAGCATGGGACACAAAGCAGTGTACAGCCTCCAAAGTGAGGGAGGTGTTGGAGGGAGAGAACAGAGAGAGAAGCATTTATAACTAAAGGCATGTCATTCCTGCAGCTGCTGCTGCTGCTTGTGTTGGTTCCGAGTCACACAGACCCTATATGGGGTTTCCAAGGCCGTACATCTTTACAGGAGCAGAAAGCCTCATCTTTCTTCTGTGGAGTGGTTGGTGGATCTAAACAGTCCAGCCAGGGCTCCTTATTCCTTGTGATACAAATGCTAAAAACTACAGTAAATGTTCATAGGAGGTTGAGCCCACTTTAGGCATACGCTTCAGCTTGACAGCCGAGAGTGAGGGGTGTGTGTACGTGTGCATGTGTGTGTATGCCTGTGGGTTTGTGTGAGTGTGTGTGTGTGTGGTGCTTTCAGGTGGAGTGCCCTGCAGGATGTGAAACAATATGCTGGTTTCAGGGAAGAGCTTCTAGATTCATTGAGACTAGAGAAGAGGGAAAAAGGGAAGTAGAGATGAGAGAAGTAGATGAGGCTGAGAAGGAACGAGAAACAAAGACAATGAAGAAACCTGATGCCATGAATGTGTTAGAATTTCTTCTTACATAGGCCAGTGTTTCTAAAACCTGGATGCTTTTCAAAATCCTCTAGGAGCTTTTAAAAATACAGATTCTACATTCCTCCCCTAAACCTACTGAATCACACTAGTGTGGGTTTAAGATTCAATTATAAAATAAATAAACTGAAACCTTCCCCAGGTAGTGATTCTGATGAATGTGCAAGCTGCAAGCGGGTAATGATTGTTATACACACTGAGGGTTTTAAGTACGGGAGTATATGATTGTGTTTATGTATTTAAATGACAAAAAGACAGCCTACCAAGTGCTGTTGAGTTGGTTCCGACTCCATAGCAACCCTGTATAGAGTTTCCAAGGAGTGGCTGGTGAGTCTGAAACACCTGCCCTGTGTTCATTTGAACATAACTTTGACCTTGTGGTCAAAGTGCTTATCCTACATCACCACACCAGGACTCTCTAGTAAATATAAACAACCCTTAAATATGATGAGGGAAACATCACAAATCATGAAATAGACTTGGAAAAATTGGCTGTTGAAAAAAATCATTGATCATAGATCAAAATGAACTTTAGACTAAATAGAGAGTTTAAACTGATATAAGGGCCTCCTGTACAAAAGGCACTAGAAGGAAAGTTTTACATAGAAGAAACTATAAATCCAAGTAAGACAAAGGGCAAACTGAGAGAAATCTGCCAAAGATACCAGAGACAAATAATATCTTCAATACACAGAGCTCAAACAAGTGATGGAACTATTAAGACTCCTTAAGAGAAGTGCACAAAGGAACTAAGTTGAAGGAACTGAGTTGGCAGTGCAAAGATTACACATATATTTATACATGTTAAATCAGGAGAAAGATATGGCTTTCTGCTCCGTGAAGATTTATAGCCTCAGGAACCCTGTACTGGGTCGCTATGTGTCGGAACCAACTGCACAGCACATCACAACCACCACCAGTACCATACATGTTAAGTGCCTTTGAGCTGACTCCAATTTATAGTGACCCTGAATAGGGTTTCCAAGGAATGGCTGTTGGGTTTAAACTGCTGACTTTGCACTTCAAACCAACCTTGTGGTCCAGCGCATTACCCTGTAGTGCCATACCAGGACTCCACATATGCAACAGTAAGTAAAAAGTTTTCTGTACTTCGGCTATTGTTGTTGTTGTTGGTAGGGGCCATCGAGTTGGTACTGACCCATAGCAACTGTATGCACAGCAGAACGAAACACTGCCCAATCCGGCCAACCTCACTGTTGCCACGCTTGAGTCCATCGATGCTGCCACTTGGCCAATCTATCTCGTTGGGGGTTTTCCTCTTTTTCTCTGACCCTCCACCTTACCAAACATGATATCCTTCTCCAGTGACTGGTCCCTCCTGACAATATGAGAGACGAAGTTTGACCATCTTGGCCTCCAAGGAACACTCTGGCTGCACTTCTTCCAAAACGGATCTGTTGGTTCTTTTGGCAGCCCATGGCACTTTCAATATTCTCCTTTCAACACCAAAACTCAAAGGCATCAATTCTTCTCGGTCTTCCTTATTCACTGTCCAGCTTTTGCATGCATATGAGGTTATTGAAAATACCATGGCTTGGGTCAG